TAATCGAGGTGGAGTGTTTCTTTTGTTGAGTTTGTTTAGAATTCTTATGTTATTTATAGCGTCATTACGGAGAACGTGCAATAATAATAATAATAATAATATAATAATAATAATTTCTGTTTGACAATAATAAATGTATGTATGAAATTTAACATTTACTAGTAAAACTTACCAATATGTCAGTTCATCCGTTTATGATACATGTGTTTTCCCCCATTGGAAATGGCCTCCAGTCAACAAAGTCCAATTATGTAATTATGACACATCTATGTTTATTTAGCGGTTGATATTGCTAATTAAAACGGATTAACAGGTGTGAAAGGCGATTTTGATTAAATTAAATTTTCAATCCTTTGACCTTACATAATTCTTTTATTTTGGTAGATCTTGGCTCCTAACTAAATTTAAGAGTGTTTGTAGTATGTTTTAGAATTTTATGGATGGAAAAAATAAATGTTGCCATAAATTCTACAAATATACGATTGATGGAATTAAAAATGGAAATTATAATACTCTTGTGTTCATTCGTTTGCTTCGAAAGTCCGAGGAACTTTACCATCTACATGCATTGCTTATCTCAGCCTCTTTCAATTAGTTGTTTAAACCACCGGCTGTTGATGTAGACTTCGCATGTTTGAAGAAAGTCATTGTTGTTATTTGGAACTTTATTTCCACCTGCCCTTTGAAGTTTTTTCGTTTTCATCTGACACAATCATGTTGGCAGAAGACTTAGGCATTATTACACAGGCACTTAATTGTCTCTTGATTTTTTTTAACCTGTATACCTTTATACATTTTTTTACTCTGACAACACATCCTGTATTTTTTGTCTCTTTGAAGAGATTCCTTGAACAGCACCCGTCAACTACATCAACATTATAGATATATATCAACTGCATGTTATGTTAATAAGGTGCAACGAATAAAACGAAAATGTCCTGTATAAAAAGCGCAAATGTCCTGTATATAAAGCGCAAATGTCCTATGAAGTGAATCGTAAATGTCATATAAAGTGAATCGTAAATGTTCTTTGAAGTAAAGTGTAAATGTGTTATAAAGTGAATCGTGAATGTCCTATGAAGTGAATCGTAAATGTCATATAAAGTGAATCGTAAATGTTCTTTGAAGTAAAGCGTAAATGTGTTATAAAGTGAATCGTGAATGTCCTATGAAGTAAAGCGTAAATGTCCTATACAGTGAAGCGTAAATGTCCTATAAAGTGTCCGCGCACACGTCCCGTGCCAATTATAAGGATGTCTATGATGTGTTATGAAGTAACATCGCATCTCAAACGTGACCTCAAAGAAATACCTTGTAGAATTTACTAGGTAAACAAGTAAACTAACTGTCTTTTGGATAACTAGCCATTCTACTAAATCTTACTCGGTAGAAAGTAATCTTACCAGAATGACTAGTACATCTACTAGAAAAAAAATAGTAATTTTAACCAGAAAGACATAAGTACTTGATTAAATTTCTCTGTTTCTGTAGGTAAGCAAGTACATCTACTGGGTATTTCTTTCAGTGTAGCATTGTATAAATAAACCAATTAAACTGATTTGGGTGTGAAAGGATTGAACTACTTTTAAATATTTTTTTAATTTCCGGGTCCAAATACATGCTCCTAACATCACGATTCCATTTCCTCTCATTTACAACTCTGTCACAACATCATAAAAATAAGGAGATGTGGTATGTGTGTCAATGGTACAACTATACACCAAAGTTCAAATAAAGTGGATGTTAGCAATTAAAGGTAACCGTACGGCCTTCAACAATGAGAAAAACCCATACCGTATGGTCTGCTATAAAAGGCCCCGACATGAAAAATATGAAACAATTCAACTGAGAAAACTAACGGCCTAAGTTATAACAAAACAATTTACGAAAAACAAATATGACAGACGTGAACCAACGACAACCACTGAACTACAGGCTCCTGACTTGGGACAGGCACATAAAGAATGTGGCGGGGTTAAACATGATTGTGAGCGCTCAACCCTCCCTTTACCTGGGACAGCGGTGTAACAGCACAACATAAGAACAAACTATAAAAATCAGTTGAAAAGGCTTAACTCATCAGATCGATACAAAGACAAACATTAAACAAAAACACAGAGTGGACGTGGCAGGGTATATATCCATCCCTCATCCCTAACAAAAAACATACACAAGTACAGATCTGAGAGTACTCGCAGTTACTAATAGCTAGTTCAAAGCCAATAACAACTAATTAAAAAATCATGTATCTAAGACTAAAACATCCTTTTGTGAACGGCGTGGGATCACATCTAAATACGTTCATTTGTTACCCCATCGGAATCACTTGATTTCTATTTTATTTAGAAATTTCATGATTTAATTCTATTACAGGAGTGTTGACTACTTTGATTACCCGCGATGGTCTCGCATGGTCGGTGAGCTCAAAGATTTGAAGGCAGTGTAGAAAATATATGTACTATGGGAACAACCATTTTCTTGGGGGTGGGGTATATTCTGTTGCTATTTTAGCTTATTTTTCTTATATTATTTTCGATTTTGCATAAAAGTATATCCTGCTTATTGGGAGGCAGAATATTCATTTTCATCTGTATTTATATTACCATGCCAGAAATTCTCAAATATCCTCCTGGACAAACCATAGCAGCAGAAAAAAAAATATTTTGAGGTTCTATTTTGGTAAAAATCACACGACGATAAGGGCATTGACTCCCCTCTTGCAAATGATTTCACAACAATATGATTTTAACTCATCATTCAATAGTCTGTTATGTCCTAAATTTTGATTTCATGACAACTCTTATATTAATAATGTAACTGTATATATCCAGGTATACAATTCCATTTTTATGGCCCCGCCACAAAGTGGTCGGGACCATATAGTGTTACTCTTATCCGTCATTCCGCCACGAACAGTTATACTGATTTTTTTTTCTAAACGCGTTCACATATTGAGCTGATTTTAAGTAAGTGATTCTACTATGATGATTTACAGATCGAGTTTACCTTTGGTTCCGCTCCGCAATATTTGCCGAAAATAAGGGATGTGGACTTTGAAATGATTTCTTGAAAATAACAGTTATACGGACGTTTTTTTCTAAACGCCATCACATATTGAGCTGATTTTTAGTATGTGAGTCTACTATGATGAGTTACAGATCTAGATTACGTTTGATCCCGCTCTGCTGATTTTTGCCGAAATTACGGGTTTTGGAGTTTGAAAATTTCGTTTAAATAACAGTTATACGGACTTTCATTCTCAAATTTCCACTCCTAAAAATGACTTCCAGCCTTTTTTTGCGAGCGGGCCATTCTTGTCGTTCCGACCAATCTAGTTTAATTAATTCCTTTCCGGTGTAAATGTTAATTTAGAATCCCGATATTAGTGATTAAGTTTTAACTATAGTTTATGCATGCAATCCCTATTGCAAAAGTTCAGTTCTAAAATATTTTGTTCATGTAAATGTTAACATTTCCACAACAAACTGAACGAGACTAACATTCAATAAAAAGAAAAGAAAAGAAAAAGGAGCAGTTAAAAAGAAAAAGTCTAACCGTTTGGAATTAAGAATGCTGATCGAAATTCCTATATCAAGACACAAAAAGAACAACAATGACTTCAAACATTGGATGTGATAATAGTCACAGTGGGTTAATTTTTGTCTCGCTTGTGACGAATGCGAGACGAGATCTGGAAATTTTATACATATCTTTTATACAGCTGCATGATGTTTGAAATTTCCGCCAAAGCATCTGACCTTTACCTGTTTTCGTGATTCATTGGTCAACTTTGAGTTTTCGTGATCATTCACTTTTATTCTGTGAAGAAATGATTGCAATGTGTACATGCTCGTACGGTAGGGTTCAATTGGAATTTACATCAATTTCATGGTTTATTGTTCAACGTTTCGTGTTTAAAGTTAGGTCCGTTTGTCAGATACTATTAGCTATAGGTCAACAATATTTGATATATGGAAAATTGGTGTACATGACCGTCTGGAAAGGATTCATCTGACCATTACCTGATTTCCATGCTTTTGGTTGACGTTAAGTTTTCATGATTATGTCCGTGTCGGTGTATGGAATGATTGCAAGGTGTACATGTCTGTCCAATAGGACGGTCTGGAATTGACATTTTCATTTTTTGTTGGTCAACGTTCAGGTTCGTGATAAGATCCTTTATTAAGATACTGTAATGTCAAATGTTTGCAAGGAGGACACGTCCGACCGGCATGGTTCACCTGACATAGACCTCATGTTCATGGTTCCTTGGTGACTTTAAAGTCTCGGCAACAGAGGGGTAAACCAAGCAGATATCTTGTATATCCCATTTGGAAGTTATGTGATAACACAAAAACAAAATATACACAGAACTTGATTGAATTTCATTTACACCAACAGAAGTTATTATATTAAATCATGTTTAGTATTTTTTGTTGTCTTGTAGTCATAACTAAACTGTAACTATTCTGCCCTAATACGGCCACTGCGATTAGTTAATAAGATAAGATTATTTGTATTTTATTAGTATTTGTATGATACAGCTCGGTGTGTTTGATTGTTTGTAGTTTCTACAATAAGTAACATCCGATTTGTTTTATTACTGGGAAGAAGTACATTGATTCGTGTCATCAAGTTTCCTCATGTTTTATGTCTTCATACTACATAATTTGTTAGTGTCAGATATATGCTGTGTTCAATAATGTGATGTATGTTTAGGAGCGGATCTTATTAAGTTATAAATTTTGTGTCTGTATCATTTGTCATTTTAAACAATAAAATCTGCTTAAGCAAATATTATAAATAAATGATGAAGAAAACAAAAACCAAAAACTAAATGGAATTGAAGCTACAACAGCTTTGATAAATATATATATATATATTAGAAATCACAAATTACATTAATAGATGACGAAGTCGTAACAACACTAAGAACATTTATATGACTAGAACAAATTCATTCCTAACTTATTGTCTACTTTCTATATGGTAAATACATTTTCAATGATAAAATTCTAGTCTGTGCTTTTTAAGATAACTGTGCCTGCCAAACGTTTCTCCGCATTCTTTACACTTATAACGAGGTTCTCCAGAGTGCACATGCAGGTGATGTTTCAACGTTGACAACTGTGTAAATGATTTGGTACATATACTACATGCGTATGGCTTTTCGTTAGTGTGAATTCTCCGATGAGAAGTGTAAGAAGCGTGAAAAGTAAATTGTTTATCGCAAAAATCACATTTATAAGGTTTTTCACCGGTATGTAATCGAACATGTCGTACGAGATGATGCTTTTCGCTAAACTCTTTTGGACAAAAGTCACATTTGTATTCTCTCGTAGCTGATGGGTTGTGACATTTCATATGGCGAGTCAACTGGTGGCGTTGTCCAAAATATCGGCCACAGATCTCACACTTGATAGGCTCTTCTTTGTGTAAAATTTCTCCAGTGTGAACACGACTGTGTCGTCTGAGATGACTCATTTGTTTGAATGAGAGGTGACACAGATCACAATGAAAAGGTCGTTCGCCTGTATGGACTCTCATGTGATCCTCAAACTCTCTCTTTTCCTGCACAAGCTTTCCACACACTCCACATTTAAACTTAAACTTTTTATCCTCGTTAGTAACATCACCGTTGTGAGATCTTACATGGTTATCTAGTCGGCTTTTCCTTCCAAAAGTTTTGCCACAAATATCACATTGAAATTTCTTATTGTGATTTGAATCTCCTGTATGAATTTCAATATGCCTTTTTAAATTCCAGTTCCTTGAAAAGCTTTTATAGCAAATTTTGCATTCCAAAGTTTTATTTTGTATCAATTTACCTAATAAAATACCATTCTCAGATTCCGTTTCCTTTTTGCTTTTTTGAAAGACATCCATTTTCTTTCTTCTTTCTGGTGTGGCCCCAGTATGCGACAGTCGATGTCGGATCATTGTGTACCTGTCAGAGAATATTCGGAGACAAACGTCACACTCGGCTCGCTCTTTCTGAGAATTTTCCACATCTTTTTGCAGGGCGGCAATAGTATTAATTTCAGGTGGTTTATAATCACTGTTATAGATTTCAATCTCGTGAACTGTAAATACCAGATCTAATGCACTTGTATATTCTTCTTTAATTTTATAAAATAACCTAACACATTCTTCAGTCACGTTTATTTCGTCTTCCATAACTTCTTCGGTTATTTCATAATACTCGGGATCTTGTATAAAGAAACTTTCATCGTCTGTTTGGATCGTCATGATCGGTAGAATCTTCCTGTAAACGAAAAATAACAAATAACTATGCGTTGATGGAAGATTTTATATAGTCTCGATTTTTATGCCCCCGCAACTGAAAGTTGGGGGCATATTGTTTTACCCATGTCCGCCCGTCCGTCTGTCCTTCCGTCCGTCCGTCCGTCCCATTATGGGTATATAGCTATTCCAGATAACTCCTCCTACAGTTTGAATGCTAGGAAGTTTTCACTTTGCTGGCTGTTTGTACATATATTGAAGGTGTGCATGTGGTCAGGGTTTTGATTTTTATTGATATTTGCTTTTTTGGAGAGAGTTCAACTTTGTCATTTTTGGAGTATATACTTTTTCACTTTGCTGGCTGTTTGTACATATATTGAAGGTGTGCTTGTGGTGAGGGTTTTGATTTTTATTAATATTTGCTCTTTTGGGAGATAGTTGAACTTTGTCATTTTTGGAGTATATACTTGCATAAGAGGTGCATTAAACCGTTTCCGGATAACTCCCCCTATAGTGAACCATAGACAAATGTGCTCAAATGCTCAACTTTTTGTATTTTAGAATAACACTTTGCATCTGCGGGGGCATCATTTGTGTCTCCCAGACACAATAATATCTCAAAGAAAGTCCTACATTGACTTTGTTATAATACAGTTACTTCAGAGTGGAGTGCGGGGGATTACTTTGTCTAGTTTTATGCATAACTTTTCTAGACTCTGTGCGATTTAGAGGATTTGTCTATCATTGGCAACCGTACGATGACCTCTTAATGTCTTTTAGTTTTTTAAAAGGTTGGACCTTAGTTCCAATTCTTTCCTAAGGCATGACCGGTGTAAAGCCGTGTGAATTACTGCATCTTCATGCACTGAAATATAGTTCCCAGATACTTTCCACACACAAGCGAACTGAGAAAAAAACTGTGTTCAATCTTTGGAGTTTTGGGGGCAATCCATCATTTAGCTAGACTAAGACCGATTCGAAAGTAGTTCTTAAATAATCCATAGTTTCTAGTAATGTGTACGAGACGAATTTATCGACCATCTACTGCATGTGTGTGAGACCAATTTATCGACCATGCATCTTATTGTATAAACGTCTCTCAATTCGAAAAGAAGGAACAAAGACAAAGAAGCGACTGCTTATAGAACATAGAACGTTTGTGCTTTTTAAAACTAGGGACCCATGAAAATATAAGAACATGGGATTTTTTTAAAGATACGTAAGTTGTAATGTTGTGACGTTTTGGTAGTAATATATAATGTATCGATAGAAAAAAAATTATATTCATTGTAAAGTTCTAAACCAATCTGATTAAAATTTATATCTATCGATACTCGCGTGCTCGTCGAATGCTTCAATATGAGCAGATTGACTACTAAATGTAAAAAAAAAAATAGCGGGAAAATTAGTTTTGATATTTTGAAAAACTTTCAAAATTCGCATATTTAACATAAAACTAAACGGGATGCAGATGCTTATTTAGGGAGTGCCTCCTTAAAATCAAGTATTTATCAACTTGCTGGCTAGATTGGTAATTAAGGTAATTGTGAGTAAGTAAATGAAAGTACGTATATTCAATACAATCAATACATGATAATCAACAAAAAATTAAAACAAAGGTAAGTTTTAAATTTTCAGCCCCTTTTTTTAAAGTTTCTTGTCCTTGTTTCCGTAACTTGGTTTACTTACGTTAAGTTACAAATGTTTCTCTTCCACTATAGTGTACAACAGTAGCTCTAGATGAAACCACAACTTCACAAATATATGATAAATTGGAGTACCATCGACTGATATGTACAATATTTAAATGACTCTTGATCTTAGTAGTGATCTGTCAAATTTTAGACAACTCAATTAGTATCCACTAGCATCTTTTACTCTGTCATTATTTATGGTTAATTGATTAGATTTGTGTTATGAGTTTGTGTTCAGTCATAGGTTGTTGTATACTGGGGATGTGTATAACGTAAGCTAAATATTAGGTCACAGTAAGCTTAATATAAAGCCAATGTTGATATGACACGACAGAAGACATGTTTTGTTGATAAAGATATTTTGATAAAATTGTTAGCAACAATTGTAGATTAAAAAAAAGAATAAAAATTCGTATTTTTGTCGTGCTGTTTAATATTTAGATAAATTGCCTATATAATTTTTAACATTTTTATCAGGCTAGTTAAAACGGAACTGGTTCTAACTTCTAGTATTTTATTTTCTAAGCCTCGAATCTACATTACATATTTAAATCAAAGCATCGTTGATGTTGTGATCCAGCCATATTCATAGCTAGTCTGATATTCTTTCTGACCATACTTTTATCAATATTTTTCCAATCTTACTGTTAAATTTCAATGTTATTACCCACAGGTAGGGAATTTCGCAATATTGATGCAAATAATGATATATATATATATTGATATTTCAATTTTAGACTCAATGTCAGATATTTTTTTTTATAAATATTTGCAATTTAATGGTATTGACATGAATGGAAAGTGAAATCGTCAAACAAGTAATATATTTTTTAATATGCCATTAATCATAACTGGCTTAATAATTTCCAGAAAGAGGCCTTGGAAATGCACTTTCTCAACAACAAAATTGAAAAAAAAAAATAATAACTAATGTTTATCTAAATTTGTGTTCATTCTTCACTAAGAAAAAATACATTTCGAATTCCTGTATTCAAATTTAAATGTACAAATACCTAATGCTGAGATATTTCCAATTACTGTTAAATAGAAATATAATGGGATATAAATGTAGAACAAACAAATTAATTTTATTGCAGAAAATGCTCAGGTAAGAGTTACATAATTTTGTTTATTGTTTCAACCAAATTTCTGATAATTGTAACTAATTAATTAGATCTTGATTATTGACTTATGTCAGATGATAATGACACTGATTTTACAAGTGAAATAAAATTTGCTTGCATTTTTTATACATAATTTTACATTTTTTGTCTTTTCTTTGAAAAAAAACCACGTCTGATTAATCATTCAGCTAGCTAGCAAAACTAACAGAATATTTTAATGTAGTGTAGATCAAAATAAATAATACATTTGTAGGTTTACTATTGAGGTCAAGAATGTGTGTATTCAGTTAGGTGTGTAATAAATTGTGCCTATTTTATTATGTAACAGGTCATGAGATATTAAATGTGGTGAATTAAGACTGGGGTTGTTTCCAATTAATACTTACACCTTTGAGTGTAATTATTAGAAAATCATGACAGTTTATAATCATACTGACTCTTACTTGCCTATGGAAAGAATTAGAGTTATCCCATTTTAAAAAAGTGTGGGAATCAACTTAGATATATTAATACACATGTTGACCTAAATTTCATAGAACAAAAACTTACACAAGCATAAGATAATAATAAAATACTTTCAAAAATTTTTATCAACTGATTCAATTGATGTAAAAATACTTTTTCAATTTATTTCATAAATAGTAAATCATAAATTTTGATTTACAAAGGAACTATATGCAAGTGTATATCTAAAATAAAAGGGTTGTTCGACCAATCTTTTCTTAATTTAAGGGCAAATAACATGTCAAAAGTTGGCAGTTGATGATTAAAATGGTGTAGAAAGATTCTGCCAGTCATAAAAACACATAATTAGTTTCATGACATGTCTTCAACTTAGTATTCTGCACCATCTCCAAAAACAGAGTGATCGCATAGATCCAGCATGGCTGAATCAAAAATCCAGCGTTATTTGGTAATTACCTGCAATGTATTGTACCCAATGGTTTTAACAGTAAAACTATACAAAGCCTTGTTGTACCATTTTGTACCATACACTACATTTTTTTAAGTAATTCAAAGAGAACACATGTAACCAATGCATATAGGAACTATGGAGGCAAGACACAACGAACCTCTGACACTTTTAATTCAAACAAAAAAATTTGTTGGAGGAAAATAAAACTAGAGGCTCTAAAGAGCCTGTGTCGCTCACCTAGGTCTATGTGCATTTTTTCTATTTACAGTTTCTCTCTATCTTAAGTTTTTGCCCAAAACACAAAAATTGGTAAAAATCGTCATCAAAGAGCAAGAACTCTTAAAACAAGTCGACTAACGATTTCGACCATGTGACTTATTTGTAGATCTTGCTAATCATTTTTGTAACATCGCGATGACCGTGAGGGCATTTCGATGTATTGCTATCGCCTAGATTTCCATTACGTAACTTTCGTTTTGGGTTTGTAACCGATCTATAAACATGATAAATACGCGGATATTAACGATTGCAAACTAACACTCCTTATCGTTTGTTATAAATACATCTCTTCAATGAATACTGATAAAAATATTTTTGTTAAGAACATAAATTGATAACATGAAAATGTTTTTTCGTTAGATATATATATATATATATATATTGATAATATCTATGCACACATACCGAAAAATTGTGTTAAAGCATGCGGAAGAATATCTCAAGAACGTTTTGCGACAATCCCGACAAGGACCGGTAACTCTGTAATTGTTTTTGCGGGAAAATATGAATGCCTACTTATATCCAATCTTTTAGAAAAATCGAATTTTTACAGAAGAGTGTCCACCATGCACTTGCACTGCACTATTATTAGAATAGTATAATAGAATAATATACAAATGGATGAAAATTATATATATATGTAACTGTTATATTAATATAATATATAACAACAAACTAGTATATACTGATTTGTATCACTACAATCATGACAATATAATAGTTATTACGGTGAGGTCGAATTTCCTGTCATTTATTCATCATCCACGCACGAACTTGTCTCAGAAAAAAATATATCTCTGTACATTAACCTCAGTTTCAGGTATAGAGATGTGACTTTTTTCTGTGACAAGTGCTTTTGACCATCCACAAGAACTTGCGGTCATCCGATGTTCAGTACTTCAGTACTTTGATTATTTAAAGTGTTTATTTATCTACTCTAGTTTTCAAGATAATATGCAAATTAATGACAATGTATTAAATTTAAAAAAATACATGTTCTTCTTAAAACATCTTTGCACGACTCCATCTCGCTAAGCAAATCTATTGGTAAGTCACAAAAAAGTATTTTTTAAAAACAAAAAGAAATATAATTTTTTTTATCAAAAAAACTAATACTGTAGATATGTCCATCAAAACGTTTAGTAAATATACTGTTTTTCTGTCTTTTACAGAAATTGGGGGTACCAGAATTCTCAAAATCAATACAGTCATAATTTACATTAGCGATATTGGACATTTTTTAAAGGATCAGTCATTACAGAAATGCCGTATTACAGTACCATAGTATACACCTCGACATTTCAATGCTTGTGTTTTTTAAAATGGCTAAGTTTATCAAATTCCTCTCCGCATTCTGTGCACGTATAACGAGGTTCTCCAGAATGCACAAGCATGTGAAGCTTCAATGATGATGATTGTGTATATGACTTGTCACACAAACTACACGTGTAAGGTTTCTCATTTGTATGAAGTCTACGGTGAATAGTCAAACCAGAGTCAGTAGTAAAGCATCGTCCACAAAAATCACATTTATAAGGTTTTTCACCAGTATGTAAGCGAGCATGTCGTACGAGATGATGCTTTTCGGTGAACTCTTTTGGACAAAGGTCACATTTGTATTCCTTCTTAGCCGGCGGGTAGTGGCATTTCATGTGACGAATAAGCTGATGATTTTGTCCAAAATGTCTACCACAGATTTCACACTGTATAAAACTTCCTTCGTGTAAAAATTCTCCCGTGTGAACACTACTGTGTCGTCTGAGATGGCTTTTCTGTTTGAAAGATAGATCACACACGTCACACTGAAAAGGTCGTTCGCCTGTATGAACTCTCAAATGGTTCTCAAATCCTCTCTTATCCGGCTCTTGTTTTCCACACACTCCACATTTGAATTTTAACTGTTTATCATCTCTTACAACATCACCGATGTGAGATCTTTCGTGATTTACAAGTAGGTAAATCTTCTCAAAAGTCCTTCCACAAATCTCACACTTAAATTTCTTACTATTACGTGATTTCCCTCTATGAGTAGTCATGTGACTTCTTAAATTGCTGAAACTTGAAAAATCTTTGGAGCAAATTTCACATTCATTACTACAATCATTTGTACTAATCTCAAGACCATTATCCGTACCGATTTCATCATTTTCTTTCTCAAACTTTACGTGCCTTGGCGAATCCCCAATAAGCGAATCTTGTGCGCATGTCGAATGACATTCAGATACAGATGTTACATTAAATACAGATTTGACTTTTTCTGTTCTATTATCCTCAATATTAGTCTGTTTGTAATCAGTTTGGTATACATCGGGCTCTTTCTTCAGTCGAACTGTATTTATTTTATCTGTGGCACTCGTATATTCTTGTTTTATCCCACAAAAACCTTGCACATTTTCCATTTACTTAATATTGGTCATCGACTTCGTTGTCTTTTCTCTGTCATTGAACTACCGTTGTCTTTGATGAAAGTTATAACTTTTGATTTTAAATATTCTCTGGAAATATAAAAAGTCGATAAATTACAATATAGGACAGACCAACGATGTAGATTATTGTAGGACGGTCCTAAATTTCAGAATGTTTAAAACTAAGGATTACTCTGAATTCAGAATGATACGATATATGGAAATGGGGGAGGGGTGTAAGTGTTAATAGCAAAAACAACTATATACGCAGAATGGTGCTCTACATTATAATTCACTAGACACAGTTATTTCTATGTACCAAGTAAAAGTTTGGGTTGCAACCCTTAATAACCACTTACAGATAGAAATCGGAAAGTGTCGTGCATTGCCAATCTGATAAAAAATTCAGATCTAGTGTGACTCGCGTACCATAGTCGAAGCACAGACTGGTTTTAAAAAAATAGTACATTGAAGATACGCACCAAGATTAAATAAATGAGAAAAAAAATATGTACAATTTATTATATCTATGTGCTGCTGTTACTTTTTCCTCATCAAACAGAAAGTGTATGAGCTACCATCAATCTGATTGATAAACTCTGCAGCGATCAATTAAAGAAAAAAAATGCTTCAAAATCAGACTTGCGTAACCCTGGACGTTTTTTGTCGAGCCTTCGACTTTTGTCGAAAAAGCGAGACATAGCGATCCTACATTCCGTCGGCGTCGTCGTCGTCGTCGTCGGCGGCTGCGGCGTCCACAAATATTCACTCGGTGGTTAAAGTTTTTGAAATTTTAATAACTTTCTTAAACTATCCTGGATTTCAACCAAACTTGCACAGAAGCTTGTTTATGATCATAAGATAATATTCAAAAGTAAATTTTGTAAAAAAAATTCCACTTTTTCCGTATTTTACTTATAAATGGACTTAGTTTTTCTGCCAGGAAACATTACATTCACGCTGTGGTTAAAGTTTTTGAAATTTTAATAACTTTCTTAAAATATCCTGGATTTCTACCAAACTTGGAAAGAAGCTTGTTTATGATCATAAGATAGTATCCAGAAGGAAATTTTGTAAAAAAAATTCTATTTTTTCCGTATTTTACTTATATATGGACTTAGTTTTTCTGCCAGGAAACATTACATTCACTCTGTGGTTAAAAGTTTTTGAAATTTTAATAACTTTCTTAAACTATCCTGGATTTCTACCAAACTTGGAAAGAATCTTGTTTATGATCATAAGATAGTATCCAAAAGTAAATTTTGTAAAAATAAATTCCGTTTTTTCCGTATTTTACTTTTAAATGGACTTAGTTTTTCCGCCAGGAAACATTACATTCACTCTGTGGTTAAAGTTTTTAAAATTTTAACAACTTTCTTAAACTATCCTGGATTTCTACCAAACTTGGAAAGAAGCTTGTTTATGATCATAAGATAGTATCCAAAAGTAAATTTTGTAAAAATAAATTCCATTTTTTCCGTATTTTACTTATAAATGTACTGAGTTTTTCTTCCAGTTAACATTACATACAGTCTGCAGTGTAAGTTTTTAAAACATTTATTAGATTCATAAACTATCCTGGATTTTTACCAAACTTGGACAGAAGCTACTTACAATCAAAAGATAGCATAGAGAGGAATATTTTTATTAATATTTTTCCTTATTTTTGTTGAGCCTGCGATTAACAGCAAAAGTAGGCGAGACACTGGGTTCCGCGGAACCCTTATTATTTTTTTTAAATTCGTGATGCATGCGTCTATATCGTATATATATGGTAAAAATAAAGAGGTCTATGTTGAAGATCGTATGTTTGCCCCAGATGATCTAATTGTAGTTTAATTAAAAAGAGATTGCATTATCAATAGAAAGAACACATACAATAAAGGCTGAACTAGAGCTAAAAATACAAATATTTATGTTACATAGAAAAGGGGATCTTGTAGCTTACTTTAGTGCCATATTAAAATCTGTCTGTACTGAAATATTTTAACATGTTAATTAGTATACAGTGTAAACATTCCATCGTGTTACTGTGTGCATCAAATCATAATTATGTATTGTAAGTTTATCACTGTGATAACACGATGCCCATCAAGGCCCCTTAATTAGAATAGTAAATGTTCTTTAATCTTTAATCAGTGGAAGTAAGTAGAAAACACAATATCGAAAGCACAAAAATGAGGCTAAAAATGCAATATTTGATGATTTTGCGGTATTGAAAGAAAAACAGATGTACTATGTAAAGGGAGACAACCCTATATAATTTTCTTTTCTCTGTTCACAGTGAAAAAACTGTCGGGAAGAAAATAACAAGCGAGATGGCAGGAAAACGCCATATTGATATCATAAACAGAATTATTTTATGCGCCCATATTATTACACCTTGACCTTTGCAGTTTAATCACATACCTGATTGAATTTTATATATTAATCTGATGATGATCCATTCCACGTACGTGTTCAGATAAATGTGGAACACACTAGCAACATCTCGTCCAATGAAAACACAGTATATATTTAGCCTTACTATCTTTTTTAATTTTTGCTTTCTATATATAATTTTGAAAATATTCTGCTCATACTGCTGGTCAGATAACTATGATTTTTCGATACAAGTTAACTTACACACTTAATAATTATTATATTTTGTCGATAAAATTTACTAAAATGTTTTAAAAATAAATATTAATGAAATACCAGTGTCCACCTCCTGCTTCCCGCTTCGATCTACAGTGTATAGATGTAATACCCACTAATGTGAATTGTGTGGAGTTAAACCTCTGTATTTTTCTTTCAGTAAAGAGAAGGAGGTATACTAGTAGATTGAACATTTTCAACTATGTAAACCACTTATTGTTGGGAGAAAAAAGTAGTCCTATAATATAGGCCTTCGTAGGTATATATCGTTGCAAAAATCTAACAAGCACTTAATTGCTATTCCCGGAGCTCTGTCTATCTGTATTTAACATATCATTTTCTCCTTAAGGGCCCATTTATGGTAAAGTAAAGAATTCAATATTTTTCTTTATTAAAGATTGATAAAAAGAACTCTTGAATTGACTTGGAGAAACATGTAATTAATCTTGAGACTAGCATCTAGTCTTGTGTTCTAATCTTTCAGCTCAAATTTGGATAGTATTGAATTAAATGTATAGATAAATGGGCTCTAACAATGACTACATGGAGAAAAAAATGTCTTAAAATAATGAGAAAGAGAAATAATTACGGTTTAAAAACGGTTAAACAAGAACCATCTTAGTATTTGCATTTGCCAGAAAAAAAGAGCATTTATTTCGGGAACAGTCAGTTTCTCGGAAGCATTTCTCGAACACGAGAAATAAGTATTTTTTTTGCATTTTGGTTTGCCGTTAAGGAAGTATGATGATTTCCTTTTTTGTTGTCCAATAAAATTCCTTTGTCTACCCAAGTCCGACTGTCAAATAGCACTGACTAACAACGTTGTCTTCATCATATACTGTCATCTATTATTAAATTATTTATATTTAAATTATCAACAGTTTCGTCGATGGTATATTGGTATCATGCTCAATTGCGTGCAAGATGTCATGTGTTCGATTCCCGACCGGTTCGGGTACGTTAATGTCTTTTGGGAGTTAGACCAAAGACCGTCAGCACAATGTTTACTGGTAGGGTGATATGTCTTATCACACACCGTTGGCTAATATAATAGATTATAAAAGATTCGACTCAACATGTGTATCTATATATACATATGAAGTTTACATGTGAAGTTTATATATGCTTGTTATCGTTAGGAATATGCATGTTATGTTTGCCGCTGGATGCTTAGCAGCAATCATTTAATCATATTGAATCTCCCTGTCTCTTTCCTGAAAAGTCGGTTCTCCCAAGATTAAAAATCACTTATAGTGCTGATAAAATCCATAATACTAGTATTTAGATTTCATGAAAAAAACCCAAGAATCATATGGAACGCCACAGCTGTCTTATGTGGAACTCTGATATTACTTTATGTTGTTTTATTATTACTTGATGATATTTTGTCTTTACTTAATATGGTTTTGACATTACGTAATGATGTTTTGATATAACTCAATATGGAATAGTCATTACTTAATGATATTTCGATATTACACGATATGGTTTCGTATTGACTTGATATAGTTTTGTCATTACTCAATATGGTTTTGTCATTACTCGATGTGGTTTCACCATTATTTAATGTGGTTGTGTCATTAGTCAATGTGGTTTTAACATTACTTGATGTGAATGTGACTTAACGTTATGTAGTTGTTTCATTACATGATGTGGTTTTGTTATTTTGTAATGATGATTTGCCTATTCTTTATATGGTTTTAACATTACGTAATGATGTTTCAAAATTTGACGATTTTACACTACATGATGTGTTTGTTTCATTATTTGATGTGGTCCTGTCATTCTTTGATGTGGTTATCCCATTACTTGATGAGGTAAAATCACGTGACCAATTCGGAAAAACCTGTTCTATTTTTAGATAGATTTCCATGTTGTATGTGCCTTGGATGAGTGTGGCCATCCATCAAATTAGAGTTCAAATTAAAGTTCGGGTTACTGTTTGAGTTAAACTTTGAGTTAGTCTTCGATTTCGAATTCAAGTCATTATTAGAATTAAAGTTTTAGTTAGCATTGAGTCTCGAGTTGGACTTCGAGTTTGAGTCACATTTAACTGAGGTAGAGTTCTAGTTACAACATTAAATTTGAGTCACTTTTTGAGGTAGAGTTTGAGTAAGATTCGAATTTAAGTCTCATTTAGATTAATTAAGATTTTGAGTTGAAATTCGAGCTATCTTACATGAGTTCGTAATTAAATTTTCTATCGCGGAACAAGGACTTTTGCTCGGGCTTCCGAAAAGAGGGCCCCGGGGTATGCGTACAAAAGATAAACACTGTTACAGTATACAAAACGCAACATAGAAGTTGAAATAAAGTTAGATGTGGTGTGATTGACAATGAGACAACTATCCATCAGAGTTTAAATGCAGTGGATGTAAGAAATCATATATAGGCAACCGTACAGCCTTCAACACACCGTATAGTCAGCTACAAAAGGCCACCATGCAACATGTGAATAAATTCAAACGAAAAAACAAACGGTCTTATTTATAAATAAACAATCTACAAAAAAAAAAATAACACACATTTATACGACAACAATTGAACTTCATGCTCCTGACTTGGGGCAGGTACATAAAGAAATTGCACGTGGCGGAGTTTAACATGTATGTGAGCGCTAAATCCTAACCTTACATCGGACTGTTACAGTTGTGTAACAGCACAACACGAGAAAAAAATGTAAACTAGACAAAGTGATGCCCCCGCACTCAACTCATTTAACCGCTTATACCCCAAAAATGACAAAAAAAAGTTCAATTATCTCCCAAAAGAGCAAAAAAAAAAACCTGACCAAATGTACACCTTCAATATATGTACAAACAGACAGTAAAGAGAAAACTTCCTAGGTTTCAAACTGTAGGAGGAGTTATGCGGAATAACTATATACCCATAATGGGACGGACAGACGGACGGACGGACGGGGGTAAAACAATATGCTCCCCCCCCCCCCCCAACTTTCAGTTGCGGTGGCATACAGAACAGTTTCATTTGGCTGTTTCAATAGATCGGTATGACTGGGTAATATAAATCCATCGGGGTGATCTCGGATGCTCCAGAAAGGCACCCGTCGTGTTTTTCGAGAAAGTACAAACCCAGTGATTTGGTTTTATTTGGTAGTTTACATTCAAGGAAAAGATGACGGTTTTATGGTTACGACCACTGGAACATGTCCGTCGTCACATATGAAACAGATATTCCAAAAAGTTTATTTTTCAATTAGTGCGAGGTAGATCAGGGAATTCAATTGATTACAAATAAAAGATTGATATTCGTATAAGTTCAAATGATCATTTACGCTAAAAAAAAATCGGAGAATTCTTATTTTATAGTATTGATGCTTTGTCGCTTAGTCCGAGCCCCCCTCCCCCCGTTTCCCTGTAACTTTAGTGTGAGTTGATTTGAAGTGTTTCATTTGTTAACAATAAAGTTCAAGTCTTTTGATTTGTGTCGAGCCTGCGACATCAATGTAGCGGCAGTGAGACACAAAAAACCTATATTCCGTCGTCGATAATGGCGTCGGCGTCTCCATCTCCATTTTTTAAATTTCTATTGAGTTTAACCTTTCATTATACATGTTACTAAACATGTATGCCATGTATATTACTTTTAGAATATCATACTGGATTTGTTTACCTCGACTATTGTATCTGTATTTATATTGTATGTTTCTCTGTAAACTTGTATTTAGTTTTTAGAGAATAAAGTATCTATCTATCTATCTATAGATCGTTAGGTTTCTAGGTTTTTACATTTTTCATTTCGGGACCTTTTATAGCTTACTATAGGGTATGGGTTTTGCTCATTGTTGAAAACCATACAGTTTTGTTTTAGTTAAATAAAACCGAATTTAACTGTTTTGACATGATAAATTTGTAAACCTCCATGAAGTGTTTTAAAACTTGTATAGGAGTTATTCCTCAATTTCAAGAAAAAGCATCTACAGAAAAACCTTTTTTTTTTAAATTTTTTTTCCCCGATAAATGTGGTGATAAATGTACAGCCGATCAACATGACGCTTTTACACTTACAGCAGCAATATCAGGCGAGACACAGGGTTCCGTGGAATATTTTACAAATTTATTACAAAAATACTGCTTCCGTTTGAGAACAACAGGACCAAGTGGTTTGGGATATCCCAATTATGTCCGAAATACTGTAAACTTTTTAATACTTTTTTTCTTATTATTGTCTGCCGTTCCCCTTTTTCATACCAAATAACTCTGAACAACCACTCGAACTTTAACTCAATGGATAGCGATTCCCATCCAAAGCACATTAAACAAATGATATATTGAAATCTGTTTAAAAATAGAACATATTTTTTTCCGAATTGGTCACGTGGTTTTACCTCATCAAGTAATGGGATAACCACATCAAAGAATGACAGGACCACATCAGATAATGAAACAAACACATCATATAGTGTAAAATCGTCAAATTTTGAAACATCATTGCGTAATGTTAAAACCATATAAAGAATAGGCAAATCATCATTACGAAATAACAAAACCACATCATGTAATGAAACAACTACATAACGTTAAGTCACATTCACATCAAGTAATGTTAAAACCACATTGACTAATGACATAACCACATTAAATAATGGTGAAACCACATCGAGTAATGACAAAACCATATTGAGTAATGACAAAACTGTATCAAGTCAATACGAAACCATATCGTGTAATATCGATATATCATTAAGTAATGACTATTCCATATTGAGTTATATCAAAACATCATTACGTAATGTCAAAACCATATTAAGTAAAGACAAAATATCATCAAGTAATAATAAAACAACATAAAGTAATATCAGAGTTTCACATAAGACAGCTGTGGCGTT